TAGGGAAAGGGTCTGATAAAAGGATAATTATTATAAAGAGTACAATGAAATAATGGTAAGGGGTTGCTGGACAATGCCACCACAATATTGCATGTAGAGAAGTTAAGTGGAGTCAGCAGCAGAACTTGACTGAGAACCAAAGGGCTAAATCACAAATAGGAGTGGGCTCAGGTCCTTCTACCTTTAATGCTGAACTCAGTTAGGTCTAATCTTTCCTGTGTTTTACCTACAACAACTTTTCCTTGGAGGCTTAACATCATACTTGGAGCTGCTGAAAAAAAATGTAATGCTGGCCTACCATCAAGAGACTTAATTAAAGGTTTTTGAGCAGTTTGACCTCTGCAGATAAATAGTTGCTAGGGAAGTGCAAAGTACTATCATAATTATTATTATTATTATTATTACAGCACAGGCATCATGAACAGGTAATATAGGAGTTAAAGCAGGCAAGGGGCATGACTTGTTCTGCTTCCTCTTTGATTTCAGTCTTACATAAAAGCAGTAATGGAGGAAGGTATTGATGGATCCTTTCTGTAACTGAAGACATGAGACCAGAGCCATATGCACCACCTCCCTATCTTAATACTAGATGTTTTGGAAGAAGCAGAGCTTGTCAGAGTTGAGTCCTGTAGGTAGGAGGAACAGTGGGTTTCCAACTTGCTTGGCTGTGTTATTTTATAGTAATGTGGATACAGCTGAGAAGGTGAGTCAGTCTTAATGTTGCTAGCTTCATCTGCATAATAATGATCAAGAAACCAGGTTCCTCCTGCCCTCTGTCATTAGGGTACTTACTTGTGGAACAGGTACATAAAGTGGTGACAATCACCAGCATCCTGGAATGTGATCTTGTCGCAATTCCAAAAGTAATTTACAGGAGGCTAAAGGGGGGAGAAACCCTTGTAGACAAGGTCAAGTGCATTAAAGTCTGTCTTCATAGGGTCTTACCTGCAGTCCCTCAACCCAGCCCTCTTTCCTGCCTGAAGCACAGGGTTGGACCCTAATGATCTACCAGGTCCCTTCCAACTCTAGAAATCTATGAAATCTATGAAAATTGGTGAAGTGGCAAGTTAGTGGTAGATCCCTCATCAGAACAAAGAAACCAGCCATGAAGCTGATACAGAATGGGATGAGATGAAATAATTGGAAGTTCTATCGGCAAACCATGAGTTTAGGTCTTCATCTATTAACAGTACACAAAGAGCTTAGTGTCGCACACAAAGTTGGTTCCTGATGTTGGGATTTAATCTTTCCTTTGTGGGAGAAGAGAGAGCTGTAGGGATGCCAATGCTGCCTTATGGGTAACCCTCAGATTTCCTTGCTCCTTCAGAGAATGGAACTGGATCTGCCTGGGCTTTGGTGTCTGTGGTTGATTATCTTCTGGTGACAGACACAAATGAGAGGTTTGTGCTGATTCCTTCAGACCATTGCAGTATAACAATGATGCTTCTGCTGAGGCAGATGGAATCCATTGAGTGGTTTGGGGGGTTTTTTGCCCCAAAACTCAGCTCTGGATCCTCTGCATAATGAAAGCCCACTCCTTGTTCCCTGTATACCTGAAAACTGGGGAACACTGAAAGACTTGCGATTTGGGCTGAAATGGTATTGTGAAGGCTACCAACTTGACCAACACACGAGAGACTGAACCACAGACTTTCACAGATCAAATTGTAAGGTGCTACATCTCAAACCAGGTGATCAAAGCCTCCTGGCTGGGACTATAATGGACTCCCACTAGGGAGATAGGGGAACTTGTAACATTCCCCATTAAATTATGTTGTTGTAAGTCTAAACTGTGGTTTGTAGGTTGAGCCCCTAGAAGTTTGGCTGATTCACTTACTTGTTTCTGGATATTCAGCTGTGTTAAAAAGCAGTTCTGGTTGCTGTGTAGCTTTTTATTGTTAGCAGAACTTGAGAACATCAAAGGGGCCTACAGTTGAAATAAAAATGTCCATTCCCATTGGAAAATTAGCTTCTCCAAAATGGAGTTGTATTTGAGATGGCTCAATGTCTTCTGATTTTATCACAGGCCTCACAGCTATTCCTCCTCAGTCCCCCCATCACTAGTTATGATCATGCTGTGGAAGAAATACACTGCAAAAGGGGAAAACAAATTAGCCTGCATTATACTGATGAGTCTGAAGATGTCTGTAGAGCTGGAAAATTAATGAGGCAGAAGAGAACCTTTTCCAAATAGTAGGAGCTGCAGAGGGAAAATGCTTTGCTACAACCGTGGCCTAAATGTGCTAAGGGACAAAGATGGTGCTAGATGAATTTAGAGTGAATGGAGAATACTTTTGATTAAAAGCAGCCTGCGTGATGCCAAAAAACTAGGCAAACATCAGAAACTCACTCAAAGAGGGGGCGCTAATCTGATGAGTGTTTTAAAAAGTTCACTTTCGATCTGGATCCGATCTTACAAAATAGATTTTGATCATTTCTTTTGGAAGGGGGAGGGAGGAGGTAATTATAATATAACCCAAACCTACCTTGTGTCATTCATGCAGCACACTCTGGGGCACCTTCTCCAATCTGTGCTGCCACCATGTGGTCACCTAATTTCTGCATATTTTACACAAACACAAGTCATCTGCAGTCTCGCATGGGTTCTCTGCTTGTTCACTACAACCTAGTTTTACCCCCTTGCACTTTAGATAACTCAGTTTGTCACCTTTTTATGTTAATCTACTTATATATCATCAGAAAGAAAACACAGTTATTGAAAGGCATTTGCACTATGTTATTATGATAAAAATGGGAAAAAAAGAATGCAACACAGATAAAACATTCCAGATACATTACTGACCAACCTGGATTTTACAAAAATGCCTAATGCTTGAGTTAAAATTCATGAGTCTAACAAATAAGGCTTTCTATCAGGTGAATTTACAGAGATGAGATGTTCTGCTTCTGCGGTCTTTACTCATCAATGTATTCGTGTTTCTCTCAATTCTCAGGAATTCAAAACAAATCTGTTCTGTGAAAGCAGGAGGAAATAAAGAAAAAGTAAAGCTAGCATTCAGGTAACAGTCTGCTGCTTATTAGCAATAAGATTCAAATTCTAGATTCTTTAGGCTACATGCATTTCTTCTCCCAACAAGCTTATCTTCACACAAGCTCAATAGGACTTTAACATGCAAGGTTTGCTTTCCTGGAGATATAAACATTCACACATAGATATTCAGACCAATTGCAATATGAAAAGGTTGATTACAGCAAGTCACCCACCTCCCAAAAATCCCTGTATCAAAATAGTTCTTAGCCTATCATTGAAGACCAACATTCATATTCAAGGATTCAGATTTTGAATGTTTGCAATTCAATCAGCATCCTGAAATATTTGTATTCTCCTCTCTCCTGCCTTCCCATGTGCGAGCATCAGGACTTTACTAACTGATTTAAGCAGTGGCATTTCCAATGTGTCTCTGTATTGAGTTGTCTGGTAAGGATAGGTTGGGGGGAAAAAACTACAAATTAGTTTGGTCAGCAAGTTCCCTTTGATAGCTTTTTCTCTTCATTGTGTCCGAAGGTACTAGATGCACAGCAGCTTCTGGGATAGGCAACAGAAGAAGGTTCATTAGGATATCATACAAGGGAAATGACTCTGCCCACCTATATGGTTGCCCAGCAAGAGACTGCTGGTCCAACAGACTGAGGAGCATACAGGTAACATTATGATGCAACAAAGATCAGCCACCAAGAGAGACAAATGCCTGGAACAGCAGACTAATAATACAGGGCCCAGGTCAGAGGACTCAGAGAGATGGACTGCTACTTTCTCCATGGCATAAAGAATGGAAATATATTAAGTTGCTTGCTCTTTGTTCCAC